TGCCGATGAGTTCGTTACCTATGTGGGACTGTGAGAGACTCACTCTCCGCCCCATGACTCAATGGGAGCTTTGAAGGCATCGAAACATTCCCATGCGAAATAAACATCCTTTGATAATCCTGTGCTAGTTGTTACTTTAAATTTAAGCAAAACTCTTTGGATTAAGAGTATTCTTGGACAATCTCGAAAATGCAATTAACAAAGTGAGATACGTTTCCTTGGGAACACTCTAAACCCCATAACAGACAAACACATCTGAATCGCTGGTTGTGGGTGGTCTATATAGGTATTCTTTCGCGGATATTGGTTAAAGTCGCTTCTGCCTAATCTTGATTGGGCAGACATAGTCGACCTATCTTTGCAAGCTTTATCGCATATAAGCTCTCCACGTTCTCTTTTTCTCATTTGTCGTCTTTGTCGTATGCCCGTCTTTTCAAATTCCTCTCTTTTTTTGATCATTCACATGATCTAGAAGAGGGACTTATTCAAAAAAAAGAAGTATACGACGATGGACAAACTGACTATTCTCTTAGAAATAAAAAGAGAAAGGAACAAAACATAAATATTAAATAATAGTTTCCAATTGAGCATTATGTTGGATTTTTCAACAACGAGCTGTTAGAAATTGGTGCGTTTACATGCACACCGTACAATTCTTATGTATTTACACATCTAACACCCAAGCAATTACATTTATATGCCTATCACTCAAATTTTTAAAATCATATAAAAAATATCACTATCACTATCTTTTTAAAATTGAAATACATTTTTTCATGCACATGTTTATGAGACTTAGGTGTTATAAGTATAAATATCAAATCTTGGTTGTTAGATATGTAAATACATAAGAATTGTGTGGTAGGTATGCAAATTTCCCTTGAAATTTTATATTGATGATGCTCTTGATTCTAGTACTGGCTAAATATCTAGTCTCTCCTGCTGTATTTCATGCAGCAAACATGTGAAAGCATCATAAGCTATATTATTGGAATTGTTGTTAGTTTTTATCATTTTGAAATTACACGTCATTAAATAATAGCTTTGGGGATGGACCTAGATATCGGAAACATATCACCAACCATCCTATTTATTCTTTTTTCTTATCAAGCATCTTCTTCTATAGTTTGTTGAGGCTAAATATCTATGCATTTGTTTGATAATGTTTCTCAATTGTAGGCATATTCTGTAGGCTACTGAAGCTGTGTAAACGGCCTGATAATTTGATACGTTACATGTTACTTTTACGGTTGGGAAAAATAATTATAGTTTAATGCTAAGGGACTGTTTGGGTGACAGTTTTAGTAGTGTTTACTAAAATAAATACATGAATATTAAAAATTTTGATGTTTGGTAAGCTATAAAGTAAAAATACTATGAATTTAGCATTCATGATAAGGGGCTTTTGTGTGTAAATTAATTATGCTCGAATCGAGCAAAAATTGAGTTCACCCGCTGAGCAAATCCTTTCGTCCCCGCTCTCGTGAAATCTCTCTCTTTCTTATGGGATATTTCGGCGAAACGCCCTAACGGCCCCATTAAATCCAAAACTCCTCTCCCATTTCGAAGTACTCGCTGGCATTACGTAATTCTCCACACTCTTCTTCTCTGCTTGCCTCACTTCGCTCTTCTCTATTGCTTCTCTTGCTCTCTCTCTCTTTCTCCTTCTGTGGTACGCAAACGACAAGCCAAGGATGAAGCGTGCCGAAGCCCCTTTGCCCCTTCTCTTTTTATCGGTTCACACGAGCAGGAAGAGGCCAAAGATCTAACCTTCTCGAGCCACCACAACACACTCCGGCCCTAAGGTAACCCAAAATCTCCTTTTTTGCTCTTTATTTCGCATATGGCAGGTTCCCATTCTTCTAATCGAACAAGACTTATCTTCCTTTTCAAATAGTTGGAGACTTGTCTTTTACCGCCACTCCCATGCTTCCTCACTCATTGTGAATTAAAAAATTTCTATCTCTTTCATTGTTTCCCTGTACCCCAATCTTTTGATGAAATATAAAACTTGATTTTTTCTGTGATCCACTATCCATTCCAAAGTCTGAAAGGAAATTTGAAGATTTAGGAAGAGAGAAGTGGTTCATCATTTGAGTTCCTCCTAAGCTACTCTCAACTGATAAGTTGCTGCATACTCAAACTAAATGTAAATATAAAAATGAATCAACAGTATAGTCTAAACGGATTGAGGAAGTTAGAAGTAATGTTGGTTCTTTAGGTTCCTGATCATAGAATCTTTTTGTTTTGTTAATTTAGAGATTTAATATAATATTGAACCCAAATTTGTTCGTGAATCACACCCAATGAATAAAGTGTAGAGATAAGAGAATATATTAGCATGCAAGTCCTTTTCTTTTTGTATTGATCCTCTCCCCTTCACTGTTTTTGTATTTATAGAAATCATTTGTACAAGGTTGGTTGTGCCCTTAATATTTTGGTTGTTGGCAGACGTTTGTCAGCATGGCTCAGACGAATCATCTTTTAGTTAGCACGTTCTCAATAAGTCTTCTCTCCATCTACTATCCTCTGAGTGGTCACCATCCGTTTCGGTGGATCCCCTAGTCTATCGGTTTTCGAGATGGATGATTCCTGGGTGGGTCAACTTCTAGCTGGTCGGTTGACAATCTTTCTTCCGGTTCTTTCTCGTTCGACCCTTCGGTGAAGAAAGTTGTGGTGAAGAAGAGAAGGCTCTCACATCAGGTCAGGTAGGTTCTTTCAGGACGGTCCAAAAGAGTGTTGAGCCAGTCGCCGCAAGCGCCAGGCCAATTGCTAGAAGCACCCAACAAGTAGCCGCCTGTATACGATCGACCGATGTGGCCTAAGGCTTAATGGCCCAGCCTATTGTGCTGCCCCAAGCTTGAAAGGGGACCAAATTGCCCCATCACCCATTAGTGCTCCCTCGTTGTTGCGACTTCATCTGTAGGAGCCTACTGTGTCCGACTTGCTAAGGAAGATGGGTGTGTAGGTGTTTTTTACGGACGACTCTTTTTATGCTTTTGATATGATTGTCTCAGGTACGGAGGGCGACGGTGTCAACCAAGCTTAAGCGAGGCTCCTACAATGTCGATAGGGATTGAAAAGAAAGCGACGGAGGGAGACGGTTGAGGGCGGCATGGTTGATCATCCTAAAAACCTCTTGCTCTCCTCGGAGTAGTTCAGGTGGATCACGGGGAAAGCGACGGTGAGACTTGAGTAGTTCAGGTGGATCACAGGGAGTTAGCCCACCGATTGGGTGAGATTGAGGTTTCTTTGCACACGAAGCTGGTTTCCAACATGGCTCGGAGGCGCATGCCTTGTCAGCGCGCACGATGTAGCTGGAAGAGATCACGGCTCTTAAAATTTTTGAATGAAACCAAAAACATGAGATTCCGACAATTTACTAGCAAGTTATCCTAAAAATAGCTATGACTCGTAAGGATGATGACCAAAGACTGACTCCTGCTGAGGAAAGCTTTTAATGATAAAGGAAGACTTACATACATACCATGCAATGCCTAATTATTTATATATCTAACACCTAAACTTATATTTTTACATGCATGTCTTAATCCAAGCTATTATCCATGGTAGTATAGTTTATTCCATGTTTAGGTTTGAATGTACGTGCAATTGTCGATTTTTTTCTGGGAATTGTTCTTCATGTTCTTCACATCTATGTACTTCATGTGCTATGGAATGATAGCAGTAGGCTCAACTCTCAATTAGAACATCACCTCCATAGTTTCTTCAGCATTTTATGGACTGTGGAACATCTTCTCTGGCTTTATTATACCACGGCTATTAAATTCTATTTCATTGTCATACTAACACCATTCTTTATTGTTGAGCTAGCAATATTTTTTATTCATGAGGTGCAACATAACTTACAAATATTGTCTATACAAGTTTAATGAAATTATTGGTCTTTTTAATTTTTTTTTTTAAATGAAAATTATGTAGCAAGTGTTTGATGCAAATCTTATGAAATATTATATAATTTTTTTTAATTTAATATATTTTTGGAAAATAAATTTAATTTTAAAATATTATATAAAAAAATGACTTTAAATATTAAATATATAAGCTTAGAAAAAATTAAATGATATATAGCTAGTTAACATGAAAAATAAAAACCATGCATTCCATTTCGCCACAATTAAACAGTTCATAAGTATTTAAAATACATTTACTTTATTTTACCTGCATCTAACTAAACAGAAAAAAAAATGGTATCATAAAATTTTATAAATTATATCACCATTAAATAATATGATTAAATTTAATTTTATCATTAATTTTGTGTTTTTATGTATTAAACTCCCTAAACCTTAAACCCTAAATCCTAAAATCCCAGACCTTAAACTCTAAACCCTAAGAACTCCCCTAAACCCCAGCATTCTAAAACCTAAAGCTTTAATCCTAAAAGCTTAAAACCCTAAAACATAAACTCCTAAACTCTAAACCCTAAACCTTAAATAAACCTTAAACCCTTTTAAAAAAAAAAAAAAAAACCCTAAACCTTAAATCCTATGCCCTAAACTCTTCCTATGACATTTGACTTTATTTAATGCCAAGTGTCAATTGATTTGCTTTGCATGGAAAGTAAATTTTAAGTTTTTGCAGCTGCTAAGTTTTGATCAGTTAAAATTCTCAGTTTAGATTATTGTTGATAACACATACAAAACCACGTAGTATTTCTAATTCATTAAAGAGTTATCCTGTATGATTTATTTTTAAGCACAACTTCACAACTGCTGGACAGTTCGATGAATATTTAACAACCTTCTAGTTCAATGTAAACAATAACATTGAAATGATTAACGTTTATGCATGCATGGGGAGTTTGCAAGGAACTTCTTTTACTTTCTAACTTATGCATCCACTTTTCTTTCAACCAGTTTGTTAAGTCTAATTGTTTTGTATCTAAATCCTTGTTAAAAAAAAAAGAAAAAAAAATGAAAAAATCCTTCTTATATTTATATTAATTGTTTTTTCTCTATTTTTTTGCATTTTGAAAGTTCCGGATCTTGAGACCATCAGTTTTCGGCTTGTAAAACAAACTGATCAATATGTGATCAGAGAAGTGGAGGTATCTTCCATTCTTTTTTTTTTCTTTTTGTTCATAAGCTTTTTTTTAAGCATTTTTAGTTAAGAATTGATGAACACGATTAGCAATTATTTTTTTTGGGCTTCTATTTGATATCATTTTGCAGACTGAAAGTACAGTGAGGTGTGAGCAAGGTTTTGCACACGATGGGTTTAAATTGAGAGTATCTTTGATAACTTTGTTAGCTTTTTGGCAAATGTTATTCATCATGATGTCTGCAAAACTTTTGTTTCTGCAAAATTCATTATCATTATACAGCTCATATTCGACTTAAGTTTATCCTTAACATATTCTTAAATATATGGCTTCTTACTTTTAAAGTATATGTGATTGCTTGCAGTGCCATTGCACACTCCTTAATCTTCCAATTCTAGAATTCCTTTACGATTTATTTTTATGACAGCCTTACCATGTTGCTGAAACAACCATACCAGGGAAGGATGGTTTCAACTTTAGTGGCGCTTCTCAAGCATTCAATGCATTAGCTGCATATCTATTTGGCAAGGTATAATATGCTGTTTCGAATTCCATTCTCAAGATTTTACCTTTTAGGCTTTGGTTTGGAGAAATTAAACTGAAAGAAAATATTGTTTCTAATTCTCTTCATTCCTATAAATTAGACTACAAATAAGATACTTAATTAGCATGACTGAAAATATTAATAAATTAGAAAAATAATTATTTATGCTTTATTTGGACAATTTTGATTAAATAAATCACTCAATTGTACGTTATTGATTGTTTTCTATGTCATGATTAAAGTCCTCCAGTGGACGGCAAGCAATTCATGCATAACTCTGTTTGTCATCTTATGGCTGTGGCACTAAATCATCTGTCTTTATCTCTCCTAAAGATTATTAGGATTGTGTTTGTCTTTCATTATTCGCTGGAAACAAAATGTTTATCTTTGTTTTTTCAAAGAACCCATGAAGTCTGTCTTCTTGTTTTCATATTGCTTCGCTCAGCCAACCAACAACAATTCATCATTATCTATTGTATTGTTTGGAAGATCTGTGAGGATCCATGGAGAGCTTGTATGGATCGTGCTCATTCATGCGTTTAAACAAGTGTTTGCCCTCATGATAATCTTTACTATTGCTGCTTGCATTGAAGCTTGCTTGTCGCCTGATTCCTCTATGCCAAATCTCATTTTTGTGTGATCCCAATATTGTCGAAGCCCGTCTTCTGGCCACCTCCTTTACGTCATAAGAACATTTTGCTTGCAAAGACCTACCCCCTCTTGCTCATATTTTGTGCACTGAGCCAGTGAATCGTTGAGGAGATTTGCCTCCCTTGCCACACATATATTTCAACCACTATTTACCCTTCTATCTTCCCTCACTCATGTGAAGGTTTGTTTTTGTGCTTGCACAATAGCCACATTATTTGCATTTTTTATTCACCCTTTTTTCAAAAGTTGAGTTGATTGTTTTGTTTGATTAAATTGTGTTCCAAATCGAGACCATCCACTCGACCACTTACCCCACATGCGTTGTTTGAACTAAGGGTTTACCCATCTCTTAACAGGATCCAATCTATTAGCATGGCAAATGCGTCAAATATGACAACAAATAATTTGATTTGTTTTTTGATGGGCGGCTCACAAGTACAATCTATTTATGGAAATTTTAATTTTGATTATTTCTATGTGAAAGGAATTATGTGAACTTATTGATGGGTGTGATCCCACACTATTTGAATTGCCAAAATTATCTGAGTGACGAAATAAATTTGCAAGTGTTATGGCTTGGATCTTAGGATCCATTGATCATACAACTTATTTCAATCTAAGATCATGTATGATAGTCAAATTTGTGTGGGAGTATTTACGAAAATTATACAATAAAGATATTTTAGCTAAACATTTTCAATTAGAATGCGAGATTGCGAGATTGGTAATTAATCCTAAGGAAGCCTCTTAATTCATGATTATTTCTTTTTGCTTCAAAATTTATGAATGAATTGGTAAATATAATTTATTCTATAATATTATCTCATTTTATTTTGGTTGTTCCAGTGGTTCACGAACAAATCAAAATAGATCAATTCTTGATCTTGCATTTTAGGTTGTTTGTTTTAATTTGATGAGTTCCCTTCTATGGATGAATGCTTAAGAGAACTAATTCGTGACTTTTGACACAAATTATGCTTTAATAACATCAAATGCATGAAAATGTTGTTGCATACTTTGCCCATAGGATGAATAAGGGAAATGATATGTGACATACATAATACTATACTCATAAAGATTTTAGACATATTGTTGTCAAGTATCAAAATAAATATCACAATTATTTTAAAAATCATATGTACATGATTAAAAAGTGTTGAAAATATTTTCAGAATCAATAGCCAAATTCTAATTAGGCAACTGTGACTAGTCAAGTTGTTGGTTTAGCAATGGTAGACAAACTTAAGGTAATTCCTAAATCTCTTTAGCAATTAATTATTAAAGCCCTATCAACTTTGAGGATTTGAGGTATGAATACTCTTTTTTTACTAGTTTGTGAATTTTGATGCTTTGAATCATATGATTGATACTTCTTCTTCCTATTATCGCACTATATCATGGATAATCTTCTATTCAAATTGCTAATTATTGTAAATTACCTATCAAATTGAGAGAGATATTAAGCATTTTGTGAAAGAAATTTTCATATCTTGAACGCTCTCTAATAATCTCGACTCAATTAGAAAAATAATAGATAATAATTGTGATGTTTTATTTTCTTGTAATGGCTACATTGTGCAATATTAGCCGATAGAGAAAAGACTCATAGGGACTATTTTCCTTATATCCTTCTATCTCTAAGGTTATTTATTGACTTGCACTACATAAAATCAAAATAATATGCTCCTATCCATGTTCCCCTATCTCTACGGTTATTCGTTATTTTGTACTATATAAAATCAAAATAATGCACTCTATCTCTAAGGCCATTGAAATATTACTATTTTATCTCATTTAATGAACTTCAATTTGTTGAGAAAGAAATATGAATTTACTTCTTATCTTCACTTAATGCTCAACATGTAAAATAAGGAAAAGCAAGTCCTTTTTCATCACATGATATTTATGCCAAAATATAATTATGATTTAATTCAGAGTGATGTATGTGGTATTACTTTTATTATTTCACTCGCAAATTACAAACATCTCTCGACATTCATCAATTATTATAACAAGAAATTTGAAGTGTTTTTTGTCTGAGAGTTGAGACTCAATTTTGATCTCACATCAAAACACTGGGATCTGACTCTATGGGAGAATATATGTCACTTCAATTTCATGATTTTCTTTAAAACAAGGGATTTTCTTCTCAATGATTAATGTACAAATTGCCATCTCTTAAATGTTGTTTGAACTTTTTCGCTGGATTTTTAAGTTACATCTAAATTCTGAGACATATAGCGACTTATCTAATTAATAGATTTTCTATCATATATTGAAATTTGAATCATCTTATTATCTTCTCTTTAGGAAGCATCTGAACTACAATCATTTTTACACATTTGATTGTGTTTACGTTGTCCATCTACCAGCACATGAAATTTTATAAAAATTTAGCTTAATCTATTAACAATGCATTTTTTGCTACAAAATCCTTATAAAGGTTATACTTGTTATGATCTAGGCTCTAAAAATTATGAATCTTTCATTATACTATATTTTTTGAGTATTGTGATGGGGAAACTATATTTCTTCTTATTGCTTAGTTGAAAGCATATTTTACATATTTATATACACTTCTATCTCTATAGATTAGGAATATCTCTAATATAAAAAAAATTCTGTAATTAGATCTTCTCAAATTAGGTTACCTAATATCAAGCTTCCTAATATAGAAGTATTATGAATCTTTCGTTTTACTATATTTTTGAATATCGTGATGGGAAAACTATATTTCTTCTTCTTGCTTAGTTGAAAGCATATGTTACATATTTATATGCACTTCTATCTCTATCGATTAGGAATATCTCTAAAAAATCCTGTAATTAGATCTTCTCAAATTAGGTCACCTAATATCCCCGAAGCTGGAACATGGATATTTATCAGGCCCAACTTACAAATATAAGTGATCATAGCTTCATTTTGGGCCTTTGTGAAAATGTCTCATGGTTGTTCCTCAATTTTTGGATGAGTTGTAGAAATAAAGTTTTGTCAAATCTTGTCATGAACAAAATGACAATCTATCTCAATATGCTTAGTTTGTTCATGGAAGATAGTGTTTCAAACAATATAAATTGTAGCTTGGTTATCACACTACAACTTTGCTGGAACCGTCATCTCATAACCCATTTTAGTTAGGAATTGGGAAACCCACATCAATTCACTCGAAGCTTGTGCCATTGCTTGATAATCGGATTCTGTATTGGATCGTGACACTACATTTTATTTTTTTTACTCTTCCATGAGACCAAATTACCACCAACAAAATAACAATATCTAGTAGCGAATCTCTAATCAATCTTAGCATTTACCTAAAATCTCCATAAAAGAAATTTTCAATATTTCTATGCCTATGATCCTGATATAAAAGCTTTTTTTGAGGAGCTCTTTTGAGGTAACATAGTGTTTGTTTCAGAGCTGACCAATAATGGACTGTGAAGGAAGACATGAACTGACTTGTAGTGCGAACTGAATACGCAATGTCAGGGCGAGTCACTGTGAGAGCTTAATTTTTCCACTAATTTTTTTATATTTTTTAAAATTATTAAAAGGCTCTCTATCTTTGATAAGTTACTGATTAGGAAGCATCAGAGTCATTGTGAGGCAGTTTTAATTTTTTTACCAATTTTTTTGTTTTTTGAATTAAATCCAATACAAACTTCCACGAGATAGAAAAATACCCTTCTTGTTCTTTTTTGATATATCAATCCCAAAGTAGTACTTGAAGGTACCCAGATCTTTAGTGTTGAACTAATTTTGAAGAAATGATTTCAAGGATAAGAATTCTTACACATCATTTCCAGTAATAATAGTGTTATCAACTTACAACACCAACAAATTGATCCCAGAAGCAGATTTCTTGTAGTATACAACACGATCACTTTTACTCTTCTGCATCCTAAACTCTTCTACTAGACTATGCACTTGGGCTTTGCTTCAATCCATATAGCGACTTCTGAAGACATATTTTCCCAGACTCCCCCTGAGTAACAAACCTAGGAGGTTGCTCCATGTAAACCTCTTCTAAAAAATCATCATGCAAGAGACATTCTTTGCATTAAGTTGGTATAGGAGCCGATTATTCATTGTAACTAAGGATATGACTAGGCGAACAAAAGTCAATTTAGCTACCGGAGAGAACGTGTCCAGGTAGTCAACCCCATAAATTTGAGCATAGCCCTTAACAACCAACCGAGTTTTAGGACGTGCTAAAGATCCTTTTGAATGAAACTTAACTGCAAATAACCATTTACAACCAAGAAATTTTTTAGCAAAGGGTAATTCAACCAGTACCCAAGTTTCATTTTCAGTTAAGACATACATTTCATCAAGCA